TTTTAATTTGCCGACTTACGGTAACAGTTCCCTCTAAATAAAGCAGTTTGAAAATAGTTTTGTTGAAAGATGCATGCACATGAACAAAATTGGACCATTTACTCTTCTCTTACCTTCTTAGATCTCCAACAACGACAGTACACAGCCTTGTCTCCCAGATCTTCCATATCAAATGCATGGACTACCTTGGGGTTATCCTTCTGGATATGGGGATTCACCATTGCTTTGCAGCATTTGTCTTTAGAGAGAAATTTTTTGTAAGCGAGATACCCAACAGCAGCTGCTCCAGCAGCTAAGGAGACTGCAGCAATCCATTCAACTAGAATAAAAGAGAAGAAAAAAAAAAAGAGACTGTCACTTTTTGACCACAGCTTTCTATTAAAACTGCTCAGTAGTCAATGTCTTCATACTTGTGGCAACACCTCTACTTTCCAACAGACCTTTTGTTCTGTAGTGGTAACGCAGTACTTTGGAAGAATATATTCTTTTGACACTCACCTAGTTAATCTACTCCTTTCTCCTGATCAGAGTTCTCCTTCTCCCCAATCCCTTCTACAGAAGGGTGAGGATTAACCTGGCAGGGTCTGGTTTTTTTGGTTGTTTTTTGTTTGTTTGTTTGTTTTTAAACCTTTTGTTTGGGAACTAGTGATACCAACATCGGTAGTATAGTGTTTCCAAGTTCAGCACATTAAAGCAGCTATAAGTACACCCCATAGCAGCAGAAAACCCTGTTGTTTCAGTTGCAGGAAAGTCACTAAAGAAGAATGCTCAGCATCAACAACCCAAGCAGGATCCCCCCCAAGGTATGGGTACCGAGTAGCTTTTAATATAATGCATCTTGCAACTAAAAATGTTAACAGGTGTTTGGCAATAGGGAAATTATTTAATATACTACCACTTCAGAAGAATAACAAAAGCCAGCTTAGATTAAATCCCTACTGTGGTGTACAGAAAAGAATACAGATCCAAAAAGATTATATTTAAGAATAATAGCACAAGTTCATTTTAATTGGATTAGGTCCTGACTCCCTGAAAGACAACTTCCATTAAAAAAATCCTCTTTCCACTACCTCCCATCCTCACTTCCACAAAAAACCCGATATCTCTAAAATCTTTGCAGTGGCGCTCGCTTGGTATAATTTCCTTTTCTGCAAGGAATTTTCCTACTTTTTTGTGGCTTTATTGTTTCCTCTGTGCCTCATGAAAATACGCTGGACTTTGGCCTGAAGGTTCTGGTTGTGGCAACAGCCCCAGCCATTTCTCTCAGAGCTGCGGGCAGCTGCTCCTTTTTTGCTTTTTATCCGCCACTTCTACTCACACATGTACTCCTAGCGTGTACACACAGAGTTCAGCTGACTCTACAGACAAACAAATCAAACAGGAATTTAAGTTTTAGCACATTACACAACTTAGGAAAACTAAAAGTCTCCAGTTGGGAATTTCTATCTTGCTCTTCAATGTTTGCATTGGATTTGAAAGACACCAAGCCACATAGCATCTTTGGGGCAAGAGACATTACTACATTAACTCTAAAGCACTCTAAACAAAAAGCCTTTGTTAGTTCTTGCTTCTTTCCACGGCTGACTGACTTGCTGTATTGCCACTGTAAGCTTGCACTAAAAGGATTGAGAAGGTTTTCTGCCCTGTCCCACAGCCTTTTCTAAAATCCATACCTTAAAGCCTCTCCTCAGCTGAAACACTGCGTTAGCTCATATGCACCATGCTGATCCACAAGGGTCTGGATGTAGGAATACGTGGAATTAGACAAATATTTGTATGATGTCTGCAGCCCTGTTAGATCAGGGAAGGCAGGCACTCCTTTAGAGTCTTACTGAAGGAGTAAAAGATGCAGAAATCCTTCAGAGTTCATTTTTTTAGTAAACGAAGAAGAGACCAACATACACCAAAGACTCCCCTGCAAATGGGTGACAAACCCTCCCTGTAACAACAGGGTGATATTAAAATACAGAAAACCATTTTTAACATCAAAGAATTTAGGGCATGTTGCCCTGCTCCCAAACTCCTTAAAACAATAAAAGCCCCAGAAAGCATATTGTGAATTCAGTGTTTTATATCCATGCAGTGAGTTCTCACCTCTTTCTCTCCCCATTACAAACTAGCCAGAGTAATGCATTAATTTTAATAGGGTAAAGAAGTGAGAAGGTGAAATTAAAGAAGAGATTCTATGAAAATCTGCTTTAGTTTAGCAAAACAGCCCAAACCAATCCAAAGAACAGCCACAGCTTAAATCAGAGGCAGCAGGTTCTTCCAAGGAAAGCACGCTGGTTTTGGCTGGGGTAGAGTTAATTTTCTTCATGGTAGCTAGTATGGGGCTTTTTTTTTTTTTTTTTTGTGCTGAAAACAGTGTTGATAATACAGGCATGTTTTTCATTATTGCTGAGCAGTGCTTACACAGAGTCAAGGCCTCTTCTGCTTCTCACCCCACCCCACCCCACCGGCGAGTAGGCTGGCGGTGCACAAGAAGCTGGGAGGGGACACAGCCGGGACAGCTGACCCCAACTGACCAAAGGAATATTCCACACCGTATGAAGTCAT